ACTTGAGAGTGCACACATTGACTGAGAATTTAGCTAGATTTTTTTGGTAGCTGTGATGACAGGGCCTTTTTTAGATATTCCTTTCTCTAGCCATCTTCCTCTCAGATTATTTATATGGTTTTGAGGAGTTTGGCTTTAAAAAATCAAGAGCCATTACAGAAAAAGGCACTGAGCTACATCATAGGGGTGTTCATATATTCCAGTTTTGTGACCATATGACTGCTGATACCCTTTTCCCCAATTTGTCTGTATGCTTACTAGCAATACAGAACAGCATGGGCTTTTTTTGCTAAAGAGGAAACAACAGTTCTTCCTGTGTGCTAATCACTTGCATCAGCAAGTAAATGTTCTGTTCTTTTAATAAAATGTAAAAAGGTGCCGCTAACAATGCAGTAGACAAACTAAGTATTTTTAATAAAATCGATATGACCAAAGGTGGAATGGTTATTACTATTTTAAATTATGTACAGTAGCAATATGGGATATCTTTCTTCAGAGTCAGAATTCTGTTCTAATGAACCCACACAATGTATACTCTGCTTCATTAGACAAGTACTTTTATTCAGGTTTGTGCTCGTACACAAAGGTATGTGTTATTTGGAGTAGTTATCAAGCATAATTAATTTTTTATCAAACTTTTACTGTTTTGCAAACCAAGAAGTTGAGCAAAGTGCCCAGGGGAAGTGGCATAAGTCTTCCACAGCAAATTACATGAGCAGCATCTGTGAGAGTAGACTCTAGTGTACATGTAAAGAAATGGCAGACCTGCTTGTGGATGCACATACCCAGAACCAGTCCTGAAACTGGTATCTTTTAACCATACCATACTCTGCAGTTTGTATACTCTTATTGGCATAAGTTCAATTCATCATTCACTGAAAGTGTAGTTAAACTGACACTTACAGAATTAGCAAATAGAATTATTTGAAAGCGTCTTTGCTGCTGCACAGCTGCAGTTAGTGTGGCAACTCTTTTATACAGCAGCTTATTTTAATCAAACAAAAGAGAATGTAGTTTATAATTCAGAGGTAAATTGTGCTTCCAACACAGTGTATTTTAACTGATCTAGAAATATTGACATCCTGATTATTTAATTTTAAATATATGACTTCACTGCCTGGAGGGAATAGTCTCTAAATGAATATGCTTGTACCTAGCAGTAGCAGTTACATGCTTTGCATACTTAGCTGTTCACATTTCTTCTCAGCAATAAGTATCTTTTGTTGGCTTGTCTAAAATAGAAAATCTTGAATTGCTTTCCCCCCACCCCCCATCTAATACTGTTGATAGAGGAATTAAATACTACATTTGTAAAAAAATAATACCTTTACCTAATGAATCTCCTTCATCTTTATATTTCTTCTAGGCAAGCTAGATTAAAAAAAAAAGTGAGTGAGGGAGAGAATAAGTGCACAAGACCCTTTACATATAGAAATAAAATATTGAAATCTATTACATTTTATAATTCAGATTTTTTTTTCTTTTTGCATCCTCATATTTTTTTTTTTTTACAGACTTGTAAAATGCAGTTTATCAGAAGTCTCATTAAAGATCTGTGCTAGAAATACTATACAAATAATATAGGTCAAGGTCTTGGTTCCCATATGTATAGCAATAGTTAAAAACATGGTCAGTGTCAGTGTTATGAATATGTTTTGAAGAGTTTTGAGTTGACCATTATATTCCATTGTTGAGAGAGATTTACATATGAAAATTATCCAGAAATCAAGGAAACTAGCCTAAACCTTTAATGTTTAGGGTTCTCTTGGCTTTTGCATCTTACACTCCAGGCTAACTATCACTTCTTGGCACAATATTTGGCACAACAGGAGAAGGGCCTATTTCAGGAAAGACTCCTTTGCATGCTTCAAACCTGCAGACTCAGCTGCGGCATTTCAGAGCTGTGTGGGTATGGAGTCCAGGTGCTGCCTCCCCAGGCTCGCCCTTACAGCTGGTGTCTCAGGCAGAGATGGAACTTGTGTGGTGTTCCTTACTCAAGGATGCGCAGGAGGGAGCAATCTAACCCCTGCAAATTCTGTGGAAAATTATATGGTTTTGAAGGCTTTTCTAAGGTGTCTGTTCATGCTGTGGGCACATGTTGAAAGTGCGTGTTCTGTTTGTTGGAGTTTTTTGGGTATTTTTAGGGGTTGAGGGTGTGTGGATTTTTTGGTTCTTGGGGGGAATCTGTTTTTTTCTGTGTGTATTTTGGTTTTTGTTTGTTTGTTTTTTACTCTAGCAGTGTATTAGGTGCAGTCTCCAGATTCCTTTTTCTTTCTCCTTCTGTGAATACCATAGTGCAGTGAAGTGGGTAGTGAGTTCCTGTTCCTCCCGGTTGCTCATCTGACTTAAAGCTTGTCCTTTTCTCATTCAAGAACTTGTGATGAGGTTTCTATCTGCTACCTTGATTTACTGTTCTCTTCTCTGATTAAAGTCTCTGAAAACTCTCCTCTGAGTAGTTGCAAGTAAGCTTCTACTTACAGTTCCCCATGATATATTTATAATACATTTAAATTAATATATCTCAAATAATTAATACACCTAAATTAATAACATAGCACAATACATTTAAACAGGTAGGGGTCAAGGGAGAGAGAAACTTAAAGTGTTACTGTTTTTCTGTGAGATGTATTATCAGAAGCACATTCGCATCCTTCTTTGTCTCTCCTTCAAAGTCTAACCTTGTCTTTGGATATTCTGATTGAGAGAAAGAAGTGTTTCCTGCCTCTGTTGTGTTACCATGTGAAATGCATACAATGAGAGGAGTTCAGCTAGATAGGAAAAAAAATTGACCTCAGAATTCTCCCACAGCATGACTAAACATGTAAACAACTATGTTGGAGACCAACTACGGCATGTAAGTAGTCTCTTTCTAGAGAATGCTGTTTGAATTTAAAGGCTTAGGAAAGGTATGGTTGTGAAGAAGCTTTGTTTCTGCAGGATACAAGACATCAGACTTGTCAACATTTACATCTTAGTCCTTATTAATACCAGGATTAGTCCCTTTTTGTAATGGAAACTGTGACATCCATAGTTATGTACAGATTTAGTATCTGGATGAAGAGTACCAGTCCTTTTCATTCTTTCCGGAGAAACAGGATTCTGTTTGTTGTGTCCTGGGTAGAGCTGTGTTTTGAAACTTGGCTGGGATATAGGAGCCAGGTTACATAAAGACCATGGGGCTTCATTTACAGCCAGGGAGACAGACAAGGCTGAGCTTCTAGGACAAATATTTCATTTGATTCTTGTTTAATTTCTGTCCATTCTAGTCACACATTTATGAATATTTCTGAGACTTTACAAATGAAAAGAAATAAAGTCTATATTTCTTTAATGTGAAGATACCATATTCCTAGGTGTTGGAATATCTGCTGCTGTAATGTGTGCAAGAAAATCAGCTTTTGAGAGTCTGTGGTGTGATATCTGTCCTTCCTTATGCTTCCTAAATACACATACATCTTCTTACAGAAGCCTGAATTAGAACTAGCTGGAAATGTTAGCCTTGCAGAAAATGAATTGTCAAAACAATTAAATTAATGAGGATTAGATGTGTCCAGGTCTTAGGTGGAAGGCAGCAAAATGAAGTGGTAAAAGAAGAGCAGTTCATTTTATGATGGCTGGTGCTACAGTAATATTAGGGAACAATATTTACTACCCATTCTACTTTCTGAGTGTATCTTTTAAAATACACTGGTCTTACTGTGGAGTATCTTAATTAACAGCCCTTTGTTTCATGTGTTCAGGATGTTTATTTTACACAAATAGAAAGTTTCTACCTTATTAAGCAGCACACTGCAGTTCAGTGAGATCAAATGTGTTAAAGTCAGTATTGCTGAGTATTTTTTACTGAATTGCTCTATTAATTAGCAGAATGAAATTTCTGCCATTATGAAGTTCTCTCAAATCTCCAATCTTCCCCCCCTTGACAGACAGTGATGTCTCGTGTGTGTGATGAGCAAGCAAGCTTGTGGGACTCAGTAAAGCTGCTAGTGGCAAAAGTTTTTTGGGTCACAGCATCAGGTTGTTACTGCTTGGAATGTTTGTCATGATAAAGCTAAAGGAATTGGGTTGGATCTAAAACAATATTGACACCATGAATATTCTGTTACTTATAAGTGTCTGGTTACTGGATGTTTCAGAAAATCAGGGAGTTGAAATTTCAACTTTATTCCAGTACTGAAGGAAAACCATTACATCATCGATTGGTGTCTAGATGTTAGTAGAAAGGGGTCTTCAGCATTAGAAACTGCAATACGCAACTTATCATCAGTCTTGGCAAATGGGTGGGGATTAAGCCAGTGTCAGATCCAGTGACCCTCCCTCCTGTAAAGTAAAAGTACATTGTCTAAAAAGAGCATTGAGGTGAACTTTGTCCTGCCACTTTCTGTGCTCTGCTATGCATACTCTATGGATAGGCAAAAAATACATGCTCTAGGGCTGTTTTGTGAAAACAGTCAGTAACATAAACGAGCAATTCCTTTCCTACCTTATACTTGCAAAGAATTAAAGCACTCTT